GCTAACAATCTGGTTCTTCTGAATTTCCTCTATTCACACGATTAATTGCCCATTCGTTAGCTCACTACTGAATCGTCTTAATTAACCTACATAAGTGCAGGTGTACAGTTACAGTTCTAATATAAAAAAGTCTGAGTCATTGTTCGGCTTTAAACAAGAATATTTTCTGTTCTGATCCTCTCTCTGTTCTCTTTATTTCTATTATTTGAGCACCTTATTCCAATACTTATGTATTAGTCTGGATATTTGCCGAAGACCTGGTTACTTTACCCAGGAGCCTGTAATTTATTATGTGAAGAATACCAATTAGATCTTAGCACATTTACCTCATAAATTCTTGTTTTATGCAGACCTGGCTCTACTTTGCATTGTTTGGCAGTCATTAGCAGTTCGTCGTAATGCAACTGTTGTAACTCGCACCAATTATTCTCATTGTAAATTGCGGAGTCTGGAAAATTATCCATAATTTTATGTGAAAAATTTTTAGCCATCCATATGAAGCCAATGCATTTTGTGAAATATTTCAGCAACTGGACAACGTTTTACAAAAAACAATCTTAACATTTTGATCTTGCCTGTAAATTGTCATGCCTCTTTTAACATGTTTGTTATTTGAGAATAAACAATAATAATTACTATTAAGTTTTTGTTTGGTTATTTTTTTGTTGAAAGCAAATGAATCTACAGCTTTCTCGTTATTCTCGTTGTTTCTTCCGATTCCTTTCGCCTCATGATCCCTTTGTGAGATTCGTCGTTCATCACTACGTTGTAGATTGTTTCCACTATCAGGATAGTAAGGTCTATTTCTGTAAGTTTCTCTACGATGGACTATGAATTCTCATTAACAAAATCTTTTTACCGTTATTGTTGGTGAGCGCCAAATACTAGATGGAACTCACAGTAATCCCAACTGTTTTGGTTTGATGGATGCTTCGTTTATTCACGAGCCTTGAAACGTCAACCTTATAAGTTTTCCAAAGATACCAGAACAACCTTTTCTGTACGCCAGACATGGAGTATATTGGATGCGGTTCTTAACTTTTTGCAAAGGCAAATTTTTGCTATCACGCTAAAATTATTCCTAACATTGTTTAAGACATATGCAAGCCCACACCTTGGGTTCACAACGTCGCCGCACCCCCTCTCTTTAAAGGAGACATAAATCTCCTGGATTTGGTGCAAAGACGAGCAACGAAATGGGTGACAGTGTCGGTGAACAGGACTGTCGAAGATCTACTACAGCAATTGGAATCATTCTCCCAAAGTTACAGCAGAATCGGTGTACCTATTAGGCACACCAAATCATCCAAACATTAGCACCTCAACGACACATCACCACCACGCCCATCGAGGCAATCCCCGAAAAATCACGAATCAAAAAGCGAACACACATGTTTGTGAACACTTTCACTCACTAAGAGTCGTTGCAACTTGTAATGCTATCCCAGCTGAGGTGACCACAGACCCCTCAGTAGAAAGCTTTAAGAAGAAACTTGATAACCACCTACTCACATACGGATTGTCATCTCACTCTTGGATAAGCTATGCCTGATGCATGTCCTCAGACTTACTAATTGTTATCATTACCATCTCCCCAGATCACTAACTTAATATATCTCACTTATCATCTCCATTTTCTGTCCCTTACCTACACTAATGTCCTCTCTCACAATCTTCACTACCAATTGATAAACTAAATTATCTATTTATTTACTCAGTTCTGAAATCTTAATAGCATTAGAAATTTCTTATTATTCTCCACACTGCCATTAACTGATCTCCGGTCTGGTAATGTGATAGCTGCTGGTATCCAGAAAGCTCCTACTGCCCTGAAACAAACGTATTCATTCAAATCACGGACATTCATAAGCACAAAGAACCACCGGCTGACTAGAATTAGTGTATTCGAGTGGATAGACCACATCCATTGGTTTAACTTAGCTCAAGCAAAAGATATTGGATATTGGATAGTAGCTTATTCAAGAGCTGCGTTGCCTCGTGTGCGGTGGGTAACCTGTGTGTTTTATAGACATCTAGTTAGTATTCTTAGAGACGTATGCGCCATTTCCATTTTACTTGCATTAGGAATTTATGTAAAAGGCATTCTAGGTACAGTCGATAGAAATAAGTTTATAATCATCGTCAAGTTCATTAATTAAAACATTTCTTCCAATTTTATTTTGATTCATTTGGTTGTCAAAATCCAAATAGTTAGGCATTTAGTTCTCGAATAGTTATCAAAGTTGTAACAATATCTACTTCGATGCGACTTTTCATGATTAAAATCATTTGGATTTTAGTAGCATCTACCGAAATGATGATAAATCCGAATCGAATAAGTATTCCGACTCCTTATAAAGTTGAGAAAGCTATAGGAAGTCTAAAGCGAAGTAGAGCAGCAGATCGTGATAGGCTAACTCCTGATCTTTTTTGAGGATGATGGTCCAGCTTTAGTGTAGTGTCTAGATTGTTAGCCTCGAAAATACTTAGACGCTTAACGAAAGCTCGTGAAGAGCAGGCCAGAGAAAGCTAGTCTGGTTTTCGACCTGGACGTGGTTGTATAGATCACATTTTCACACAGACACATATTTAGGCGTCCGACAATAGTTGTCTTCCTTTACTGTGAAGCGGCATTTGACTCTGTTGATCGTGAGGTTCTACGGCAGTGTGTGTCATTAAAAGATGTACCAGAGAAGTACATTAACCTTATACAGGCTCTCTACTCAAACACCACTGATCGAGTGAGAGCTTATGGCGAATCGTCATCAGAATTGACCACCTTAAGTGGTGTTCAACAACGTTGTCCACTCTGTCCATTTTTATTCAACTTTGTCATAGATATGCTTTTAGAGTTAACATTATCTTTGTCTGACTTCAAGATTGGACCTGATACCAGGAGTCTCGCTTGTTGACTTAGAATATGCCGATGACATAGTTCTACTTGGTGAAAATGCTGACAAAATACAGTCTTCTGACCACCCTAAGCAACAATACAAGCATGTTCGGGATGCGATTCTCCTCGTTGAAATGCGAAAGTTTGCTTCAGGGTTAACTTGCATCAGCACCTAAACTAGGGATTAGGAGTGAAGCAGTTGAGCGTGTCGAACGCATCACTTGTCTCGGGAGTCTCACCAGTACTGATTGCCTGGTGTCTGACGAAATCTTAGTGTGTATACAGAAAGCTCGATTTGCTTTTGCCAACTTGCGTCATTTATTGTGTAGGCGAGAATTCTTTTTGCTAACCAAATGACGAGTCTACTGTGCAGCAGTTCGCCCCGTCCTACTTTATGTCTGAGAAACATGACTGGTTAGAGTTGAGGATAATCGTAAGTTACTGGTTTTCGATCAAAGGTGTCTTCTAAGTTTTCTCGGACATCTTACGACCATCGGGTAAGCAATGCTGTTATAAAGAAACGGGTACTAGATAAGGATGACGGATCAATAGATGGAGTAGTGATTGTTCATTAGTTGAGATGGCTGGGATATGTGTTACATATGCCTAATGACCGACTGCCCGACGATCTATGTTTTGTGGTGTAGGAGTAGGTTGGAAGAAACCTATTCGCGACCAAACCGAAACGTGGCACAAATCCTTGAAGTCATTGATAGCTGGATTGAGTCATGTTCGTAAGTGTAGGCTGCCTAGTTGGGTTCCACAAGATGCTAGTAATCGATGGTTAGAGATCTTGAATGACATGGCTCAAAACCGATTGTAATGGTGCTGGTGCATCCATCCTTTGCCTTCTCTCAAATCCTAATCCTATGGATTCTTCACCACCTTTGTTCTCCTCCTTCTAAGTTTATTTCACTAGATTATACTTTTTGAATAATATCTTCGAACTTTAATCTCTCTAACTCCTGCTAATACTTCTACTACTATGGGATTTGAATTGACAATTGCATCTCAGTGCTAATATGGTATGGCGATTTGAACTGATGTACGTACGTACGAAGTTCTACGTCTTAAATATCTGACTGGCATTACAATCATTTTAGTTTTAACGGTTTCAAAATCTTTATGCGAACACTTAGTTGTGATGATTAAACTATTCTAGTCTCATACTATTGTTGGTTATTGGTAATCGCCTTCATTGTTGGATGTATGTCTATATGTAATATATGTATATGGTCAGTGCCAGTAAAGTAATACTTCTTCCTAGCGACAAGTGTTTACATACTCTATCTGAAGTAACTTCAGACTGTAATTAGCTACGATCTGATATCTTGTCAACTTACGCACTCCATAATAACTCATTTATCCCACTCCTACATAAGTAGCATTTGTGTTCACGAAATTGATGCTGATTTTCACAATTTCTTTTTTTAGTATTCATCCCTGCTTAGCATATCTGGATTGTTTTACGGTGTTAGCTGTCAAATTATTTTGTCAGTCACATAGACATGGCTGTGGCCTCAGATATAAGGCATGCATGCATTCAATTAATTAGCGTTTTAGAAAACCTAAGACGCATAAAGGAAAAAGAGTTTTGGAGCACAGAGCCCCTAAATTGGTTGAAAATGATAAATGCACCCTAGTCATAAAGGGTGGTCACACAAGTGAAACTGTTAATACGTTCCTCAATGATTTGGTGAGTCAAATGTTTTCGTCTTTTAGTTACTAGTGTGCTTTGAAAAAGCCACTTATCTACCGTTTGAAGTGGAAAAATAGAGTGTTCCCCTTTGAAGATTTATCATTTATCGTAAGTTTCTTTTATAACTGCCCCATTTTAAAGGAAAAAATGTGTATGAAGTTCGACTGCTCAATGTTTGTTGTTGGTATGCATTCCAAGAAAAGGCCACACAACATTATTTTTGGAAGGCTTCATGATGGTGAGCTGCTAGATATGTTTGAGTTTGGCATAAAAATGTACAAACCGATAGCAGATTGCAAAGTAACTTACAGACTACTAATACTAACTTAAAAGGACAAAACTCTAATATATGGGGCTAAGCCCATGTTATTGTTTTCCGGGGAGCTGTTCAACTTAGACACAAAATATATGACTTTAAAGTCTTTGTTAGTAGGTAAGTTGGATGTCCTGTTTTTGGATTTTTTTAGATCTTTTCAAGGGCCCAACAGTTGAAAAAATAAGAACATTAGGGGTTGAACACCAGTTCCATTTTGTTTTGTCATCAGACAAGAATCTTTGTCTTCGCGTCCGGAAAATTACCCTGTCAGCAAAAAACAAAACAAGCTCAACGGAACTCACTGCTCCTCCTTTAAAGACTCCAGATGGGAAAGTAGTCCAAGTTTCACTTGAAGATGCTGCTCCAAGTGTTGACTTCGATCTACGACGAGTATCTTTGCCGTCCGAAGTAAGTAACAAAACCTTTACATTTAAACCAGTTAACATTAATTAGTCACTTAGTAGTGATCAGTGTCATGTACGTCTTGTTCTTAGTGTCGATTGAACTCTATCAACTGAGCTGTAATTTGGCCACTAGTTTAAGTGATTGGACATTTTGTCCACGATGTACCAGTCCTTTTAATTCTCCCAAAAGTCTATACTTATACCCTTTTCGTTATTCGATCTGCTTCAAGCTTTTAACTGTTTAAAAACCTAAACTAAGAATTTTACACCTTACCTGGCTTTTTTGAGTCGCTAGTATTATGCCTAAGTTTTGCGTCTTTTCACCTTCCAGCTTATCGTAACTTTAGGTGGTAATATGTCCTAGACGCCTTATTCAACGAAAAAACATGCCAACAAATTTCCCATATCTACGCAGCAACCCATGCCTATTGTCAGCACTAATGGATTGGCGGTTCCATCGTAAATAACTATAACTTTTAAGACATTTGTAATCAGTTTTAGCAACGCCATTATGTTTTTTATCTGACACATTAATGGAACAATATAAAGTGGAATACAGACATATAATTACTCTAGCGTATATAGATGGACGTCTTATCTACGTCACTGGTTAAGTGTTGTAATAATTAACAATATGGCATCACTTAAACTAGTTATTGACTGGTGGACTGAGCTGTGTTAGTAGGTACCGATTGCCTAATTGAGGTCCAACCAGTGGTTGGATATGCGACACAAAATCGATTGCGATGAAATAAGTGCCTATACTCTTTGTCTCCCCTTAAACACTATGTTTTGAAAATGTCGTAAACATTATTTCTCGAATTCATCCATTCTTCTCAAGTTATATATATGGCTAATGTTTTATACTATGACTGTCCCGACCGTAGCTGCTACCTTGACGTGGTGGTCGGGCTTGCCTATCGTGATGACCAAACCGAGCTATACTGGCTGGAACATATGTTCCTGAAGGTTCTACCATGCCAGGCAGGTCGATTGGAGAACGATGACACTAAAAGCAGCTACCCAAGGTCTGAGGGCGAAGTCGTACTGCTGACTGCAGAGGGGTGTGACAGCAGTAAGGTGTTTCCCTCGAACAACCAGCATCTGCAGCGATGCTGCCTTCTCACAAGGAAGGAAGGGTTAGAAAAGGTCGACCCTAAAAATGTCACACCTCACCCTACCTCACGGATTTCCGTCTCCTTCGGCATGGGTTCCCACTAAGGGCTTTCAAGAACGGAGCTAACACTCAAAAATCTTCTCATAAAAAGGCCGTGCATGATCGGCCTCAAGCAGTTGTCCCTTGGACTCTGAGGTCACGCTCCCAGGTCTCCAAGACCAACACTAATCTATCTTCCTTTTCAGGTCCCTCAAGAAACAACCTTCCACGGTGTGGGCAGCCGGGAAGTGGCAACCGCTCTCATACCCGTAACAGCACGAGAGACCAAATTGGTCGAAATCAAATCCTTCCTACATCCACACGTACCTCTCTTCTCTCCACAAATAACTCTACTCACATTCCCTTATCTGACTGCACCGCTAATGCAAACGATGCGAGTTCACGAAACGTCATTCCTGGTCTCTTGAAACCTCGTTCTAGACTACATGTTGGATCATTTAATGTACGGACATTATGTCAAATAGGGCAACAGGCTTCATTAGCTAGGACTTTAGAATCTCGCTCAATCGATGTATGCTGTGTCTCGGAAACGCGCATACAGGATCCTAGTAAAATTATTAATTTGATTTCACCTTGTCAAAATAAAGAAGCAGCTCGATTTACTCTTCGTGTATCTGGAAGCCCTGATGCTGCTTCCCGGGGTCTTGCTGGCGTAGGCATAGCATTGAGTCGTAGAGCTGAACAATCTCTCCTAGACTGGATCCCAGTAGATAGTCGCCTGTGCGCTGTCCGACTAAACGGGACAGTAAGGACTCGGAAGGATAGGGACACTCGCCGTTGCCTCTTCATCGTATCTGCCTATGTCCCCACTGACTGCAGTTCAGACGATGTGAAAGATGAGTTTTACAGAAAGCTTTCGGACCTCCTCCAAAAAGTTAGGCGCTCTGATATGGTTATAATGGCTGGTGACTTTAATGCTCAAGTAGGTAGACTAAGTGAAAATGAAAGACACCTAGGTGGATGTTATGGTGTCGCGGCTCAGAGAACAGACAATGGTGACCGTCTGTTGCAACCGTGATCAGATAACCGCCTATTTCTAGCAAACACTAACTTTAGGCATAAGGAAAAGCACCTTTTGACCTGGCGACCCCCGAAGTCGTCTCAACGTTGGACGCAACTAGATCACATTGGCATCGGCCACCGATGGAGGGGTTCGATAGAAGACTGTCGCCCGTCTTGGGTAACATGTTTAGATTCAGATCGTGCCCTAGTGTGAGCGCGTATCTGTTTGAGGCTTACTGTAAGAAAGCCTCTTAGGGTTTTACTTAATGATAATAAGGCGAAGAATATATTTCAGGAACAAGTAGAAAGACAATTAGGCGACCACTTAAGCGATTCGCATCTGGAGGCAGGTTGGAATGATATCAAAAAGGCTGTGGAAACAGCAGTGATATCTGCTAGGAACGTTGACCATAAGGCTACAAAGAAGCTGTGGATCTCTTTAGCATCCACCGATCTGATGAATGCGCGAAAACACATCCAACCTGGATCTGAACATGATGAAGAACGAAGTCAGATTAGTCACAGGCTGATAAAAAGCCTACGCAACGACCGTGAACAGTGGTGGGTGGCGAAAGCAAAAGCGATGGAAAAGGCAGCGGCGATATGCAACAGTTGACAACCTTTCCGCCTTGTAAAGGAAACCGGTATTAAGAATCCATCTGTTAGCGAAACTATAGCAGAAAAGGATGGTTGTATCATTCATTTTCAATCAATAAGATTGGATCGATGTGCAGAAAAATTTAGGGATCAATTCAACTAGCCCTCAGCAACACTTCGGTTGCCCACGATCTCCAGTCATCCTGAATGTATATTTAAGTGTATTCGAGTGGATAGACCACATCCATTGGTTTAACTTAGCTCAAGCAAAAGATATTGGATATTGGATAGTAGCTTATTCAAGAGCTGCGTTGCCTCGTGTGCGGTGGGTAACCTGTGTGTTTTATAGACATCTAGTTAGTATTCTTAGAGACGTATGCGCCATTTCCATTTTACTTGCATTAGGAATTTATGTAAAAGGCATTCTAGGTACAGTCGATAGAAATAAGTTTATAATCATCGTCAAGTTCATTAATTAAAACATTTCTTCCAATTTTATTTTGATTCATTTGGTTGTCAAAATCCAAATAGTTAGGCATTTAGTTCTCGAATAGTTATCAAAGTTGTAACAATATCTACTTCGATGCGACTTTTCATGATTAAAATCATTTGGATTTTAGTAGCATCTACCGAAATGATGATAAATCCGAATCGAATAAGTATTCCGACTCCTTATAAAGTTGAGAAAGCTATAGGAAGTCTAAAGCGAAGTAGAGCAGCAGATCGTGATAGGCTAACTCCTGATCTTTTTTGAGGATGATGGTCCAGCTTTAGTGTAGTGTCTAGATTGTTAGCCTCGAAAATACTTAGACGCTTAACGAAAGCTCGTGAAGAGCAGGCCAGAGAAAGCTAGTCTGGTTTTCGACCTGGACGTGGTTGTATAGATCACATTTTCACACAGACACATATTTAGGCGTCCGACAATAGTTGTCTTCCTTTACTGTGAAGCGGCATTTGACTCTGTTGATCGTGAGGTTCTACGGCAGTGTGTGTCATTAAAAGATGTACCAGAGAAGTACATTAACCTTATACAGGCTCTCTACTCAAACACCACTGATCGAGTGAGAGCTTATGGCGAATCGTCATCAGAATTGACCACCTTAAGTGGTGTTCAACAACGTTGTCCACTCTGTCCATTTTTATTCAACTTTGTCATAGATATGCTTTTAGAGTTAACATTATCTTTGTCTGACTTCAAGATTGGACCTGATACCAGGAGTCTCGCTTGTTGACTTAGAATATGCCGATGACATAGTTCTACTTGGTGAAAATGCTGACAAAATACAGTCTTCTGACCACCCTAAGCAACAATACAAGCATGTTCGGGATGCGATTCTCCTCGTTGAAATGCGAAATTTTGCTTCAGGGTTAACTTGCATCAGCACCTAAACTAGGGATTAGGAGTGAAGCAGTTGAGCGTGTCGAACGCATCACTTGTCTCGGGAGTCTCACCAGTACTGATTGCCTGGTGTCTGACGAAATCTTAGTGTGTATACAGAAAGCTCGATTTGCTTTTGCCAACTTGCGTCATTTATTGTGTAGGCGAGAATTTTTTTTGCTAACCAAACGACATGTCTGGTTTATTTGAATTAATGTTTACTGTAATCTACTAACTTTTGAATGAGAGCAGGTTGAAACGTGGGTACCATGATAATGAGAGGGATCTTTTGCGGTTATGACCAAAGAATTCAGATCTAATGTTATGGAACTATTAGTCCTTCGAACCCTTAATCTGGTGCCCCATCCCATGTCTCGATTTAATTACAGTCTTTTCAGAAAGCGTCATGCTTCATTATGTCTTGATTCCAATTCTAGCTGAGAGTAGATTAAAAAAGAGAAAACTTCATATAGTCTGCAAATCAACCGAGTTGAGACTTGAAAATTAATTTTGTTGACCTTCCTACAAGTCTTAAACATAATACTACGTTTATCTCTTATTTTAGTTGTCACTCGGTATTCCCGCCTTGTTTTTCTTCATATGAATGAATACTACATTAACTCAGCATGATGCATATTTCCGTCTGTTTAGTTTAGTCCTCAAATTTAGTCAAGATTTGCTTTGTCTTATTCCTGCCAATGATTTCTGTTGGTGTTTTTTATGATCATAGATAGGAAAAATGTTGCACACGCTACAGCATGACACAGTCATAACCGACATGTGAGGGCGAATAGACCATTCGTATTCTACCAGGTTGTGCATATCACGAATAATGGATGAATTTGTATTGTATTCAGCTCAGTTATTTGCAGATATTCTAGCTAAACCATAAATTCTAGAATGCAACTAGTATTCCAGATATACCTATCTTTCAAGGTTTAACGCCATGTTTCACATTAAAAATCCATACTATAATCATAACCTTTCTGTGTCAGAAATCGAATTTCCAACTTGTGGAAAAATTCGAATAAATTCTAGATTCAAAAACGTGTTGCTAATATGACAAAATCGTATATTATTTATGAAATTCAACCCATTATATTTTTTAGTCGTACGTTATTTCTCAACTTTTCACTATTATTTATACACCGTAATGACATGCATTATAATATATTTTACCCACTTCGTTTCCTGATTATACCTATTTTTATTGATTGCCTTCGTCTTAGGACAAATGGAAACGCGCTCATCGTGTACCACCTGAAGTTATCAAAGGTGATAAAACGCCTAAAAATAAGCATGTTGATGTCTTTGGTAGCCGAATAGGACGAGTTCATGTAGGCAAGTCTTCCGAACTGGAGAATTTACGACCTGGACCTACCATCCGAACTGCTTTGACCGGGCATCGAAAACGTGGTTTTGAACGAATAAAACCTGGCGTCAATAAGTCTCGAAACACTTCAGTTCCTACTGATCTTACTTCTAACAAACGGCGGAAACTGTTTACAGACACATAACTAAATACACTTTTTACCCTCAGAAAAAATTTTCGTTTCATAATGTTGTGTAACATAGTCGTAAAAATGCTTTTTAGATTACAAAAACTTGTAGATGTTAAGGGAGTACAAAAGACTGCGGACTAGAAGCAGTAACAGTCGGAAGATGAAATATCCCACCAAATACGGTCTCTTTATTTCACATAATTGCCAAATGAATTTCGGTTAAGAAACTGAAAGAAAATTTAAACAGGATGGTAATATGAAAGGTGCCAGTGAAATATCAGAATAATGATGAGTTTCTCACTGGCGGGGAAATTGGGAATGAAGTGTTTAATTCATTGAACTACCATTATGGTGTGAGACACACTCTTTACATTAGAGATAAACGTTTTTCGGAAACTATATTTCTATTAGAATTTATTAATGGTTTACTTGTCAGAAACAAACCGCGATATTTAGTAAGGCTTCTCTTATCAAGGTTGAACTACAGAAATTGTAGATTGCAAAGTATGGACTCCATTCAGTTGAAATGGTAGCCACGCATTTCTAACATTCAGTAACGAACTTGTAGTTTCTACCGCTGGTTATAAACATCTCAATATATGTAAAACTGCTACAGCTCATTACTCGAACTTCACCAGTTACAGTACAACTTTCTCCCTAAGTTTCAACTTGTAAGGGCAAGTACTTTTAGCATGAAATATCCGATATAGCCCTGGTTATCCTACACAGATGTCTGGTTAGTGGTGAAACGTAAGTTTACAGATAACGTCAAAATCGGCACATACATTATGTGGTTCAACAGTAAGCAGCAGACAAGCAAAAAATCAGGATATCGGCAGTAGCATAAAATTGTTACGTCTTACGTAAACACGTCATTTTGATATGCTTGAACTATTACGAGTTTACCTAGTTGGAAAACGAGAGGGAGGATCCGGCGACTCCACATGCTACTCAAATCCGATTATCCCAAACCCCATATAGAGTAAAAATAAGAAGACTTGATATGAAGTAGAACCTGCATTCTACAAGCATCCAGAAAGTACGAGGTCCGAATCCAGAAGAGAATCAGGATCCTGGATTAGGAATCCGGGACCGGGACCTGGTCATAAAACGTTACAGATAATGCGTATTTACACATTTTGGTCGAATAGGAAACAGCATCGAAGTCTGTGACACTGACAGTTAAGAAAGCAACATTTGAAATGAAAGTGATGATCAAGACAACCAATAAGACACATTTGAGGACGTAACATTGATATCTAGGACGACTATAAAAATGACCAGTAGGAATTAACCAATAATTCTTTTAGGATATTGGATGAATATTCTAACGCTTCTAATCAATAACCTCGTTGCAAAAGAATAAATTGGAATCGAAAGATGATATGAAGCCGAAGTTACGCAAATACTAGGCTAACAAGCCTGTCGCTACGACTAGTTTTGGTCCAAATTGCTAGTGATCATCAGCTACCATAGTTCGCAGATCCTGGTCTGATGCCTTGATCTAATTTCCCTTTGAGATTGCAAGCCAGTCAACGGCGACTTGACATGTACAACGCGTTCCGATCCGCCAGCCCTACTCAGTTTGTGATCCCCCCGTAAGCAAACAACTTCGACGGGATCTTCTGACTGAACATTAACAACCTGAGTATGGATGATACCTTCGTAGGTTACGTCACGCATCCGCAAAGTGACATAAAGAAGATAGGCTGGCTGGTACATTTGTTTATGAAACGGTTTCATCTGAATAAAAAGTAGTACGACCATTCCGCTGTTTATGCAATGTAAAATACATGAACAGATGTATTCGCATGCGGTAATCATCTTAGAATGTTTTCATCATGACAGTATCAAAAGGTGAAGAAATAGATAAGTTTATGACCCTTAGTAAATTTAAAATATCGGCGGATCATTCACATATGAAATGGAGTTATATGTCCATGAAGTCGCAACCGGACTGAGCCATGTTAGTAGGTGTAGACTACTTGGTTTTGGTCAGCGAGACGGTAGTAATCGATGGTTAGGGACCATGAATGACATGGCTCAAAATCGTGTGCAATAGCACAGGCTCATCCGTTCTGTCTTCTCTCAAATTCTAATCTGAATTCCTCATCACCTTTACCAGCCTCTTTTTAAGTTTATTTCACTAGATTATACTTTTTGAATAATATTTTCGAACCCTTATCTCTCCAAATCTAGCTGATACTCCTACTACCTCTACCACTATGGGATTTGAATTGACAATCGCGTCTCAGCGATGATGTGGTATGGCAACTTGACTGAGGAACGTACGTACGAAGTCATACGTTGTAGCTGACTGATATGTATACAATTATTGAAACATCTCATAACTAAATTCTACTATCAGGTACAGAGCTTATTTTCCAAGCTCTTTTATTAACCAGCACTATGCAACTAATAGAAACAGCTGACAGTCAGGACCGGAGTGCGACGGATCTTACTTAAGTGATGTATCCCAATGGACACATAATCTACAACTTAGGTCACGTTTGATGAAGTAATCCATACTCCTAATGTAGTACTTGAGTTTCCGAAGACTAGAGAATTATTTAAATTTTATGTGGCAGAAGTAAACGCGGATCAAAGCACTAATATAGTAGAATTTTGTTGAAGTGAGCTTCGAAAAGTTTAGAAGTAACAAGCTACATAATGTTTTTCAAGTCTGATTATTTGTTACGAATTAAGTATTTATTTATAATTACGCATAAGCGAAACAAGGTTGAAATTTCACTTTTCAAAAGCTAGTACAGTTCCTTACTGGAGAGCACAATTTATATGATATGACGTGGGCGAACATGAAGCATATTGTAAACTTGTAGCTTGTGAAGCCAAATTATTATAAAATAGTCATTGTGTGAAATCATTTTTTATACAGCGTAATGTTATCAATAAACTAAGCATCGTACATCATAAAGACGAGAGTCACGAAAATGACTCAGTACAGAATTATACAAAGTTGAGTTATCGAAATTCCAAGCAGCATGATACATTTACAGAGTTATAAATCCAATCAATAATAAGTTTGCCTGGTCACCATGGCTTCAGCTTCCTTATGCAATTCTGAACTCTGCCACAAAACTGAAAATATGGTGAACTAGACTTGTACTCATTTTTGCGTGTAAGACCAACCAAAAAATACGGAAGCAAAATATCTCATCCTGCAAATAGATTCTTAAGAAATAATGCGTGGATATTCATACCATTAAGTCATATAGATATTTTTGTATGGAAAGTTAACATCTGAAACTCAGTCACTTGACAAGATTAAATGGAAAGTTCACATTCTAATTTATACAAATAAATCGGAATGAACCTCACTATAAGTGACGAAATTGACAATCCATGGAAAGTAACTGGTAAGTAAAAATGAAACCTAAAGACGAGACACGCTGGGCAGTAGGGAAGTATGCTTAATATTTATTATTTACATGAAGTCATCCGAATCATAGCCATCTTCATTTGTTCTCATTTTACTCTCAACAAACAAACGATCGTAGGATCTTTTTTCTGCTTCCGCCGCACGGACTTTTTGTGCCTCGAGTTCTGCCTTTTTTCTAGCGGCCAAGTTAGCTTTTTCTGCGTTTTTAATACGAGTATCTCGTTTTTCTCGTTCACCCCTCAGATCGGGATGTTGGCACTGCTCTTTTGTCTTGTTGAGCCGTTTTATAACATCTCCATTGCGTTTATCAACTACGATTTTTCGGACTGCTTTGTTATTGTGAAATGCAACTTGGCCAACATCCATATCATTGGTTTTCTTCAGGTTTTCCCATTTGGTATAAACGACAGTAACATCGTTAAGCTTGCAACCCTATAAAGGTACGTATTTAAAAATTGTCATATAAGCAGAAACTAATCATCGAAATAAAAAAAATCATATTTTCAATACTTCCAAACGATATTATACCCGTCTTAATGAACTAGAAACTAATACTCGGAACTTTCAACGAAAATCCACACAATAACAGTCTGAGCGAAATAAAGCCAAATGAACGCCATACTTAGGCCAAGTATTTAAAATGATTTATTTTCGGTGTAGTAGGAGTACATATTTTTAAACTGCATTGATGCATTTTGTAGAATTGCACTGTAAAACAGAGTTCAAGGATGGTGTGAAGAGGAACAGAATAGCATGGAGTCATTTCTAACTTTTATAAAAAGTTGAGTAAACCGAAACGCAGATGTGTTTCTGAAATAATTAGTCTGGAACTGGCCTAAACTTGTTAAAAATACGAGAAAGAGTATCCAAGATGTACACTGATAGACTGTGAATTTCCCCTAAAATATGGGTTGATACAGGTTGGGTAACAAAAAGGGGACAGAATGAAGTATGGATTGTATCCAGTCATTCAATATTGACCTAAGACATAAAAGGTGAGTTTTTCTGGTTAGAACGGAAGTAACGATTATGGTCGGTCACAAATTTTAAATAACGTTCCGAAGTTGGTTACGCATCTTCACTTCTTCCTGAAAGTTGACGCACTGTATTGCGCCTTACCTATTTATTAACTCATTAGTTTCTGAATTCAGTTTGTATCATTCTTCTGCACCTTCAGTTATTTGCTTCCTGTACTGATGTTGAACGTGGCAACTTCTGAACAATATATTAGATTGAGGTCCTTAACCGTTTCTTGTATATAGGGTAGCCAAAAAATTAAGGATGGCATATGTAACATAAATATAATTAATCTTAACAGACTTGAGTCTATAACCTTAGTTGGTGGCTTACTTTTAATATCTAAAACTGCAAGTCTAGAATAAAATTTCACTTTGTAACCGCATCATCAAGTGTACCTATTGCCTTGAAAATGTGACGAAACATTTCTGACCTTTGGTTAACCTTTATCATCAATTTTATACCAGATATACAACAGTACTAACCTTAGGAAGGATTCTCAATCTTCAGTGAAAAGCGTTTAAAAATATCGGCACTACTGTAGTAACTTACCCGGTTCACAATGAAAAGCTCAGTGGCACATTTAAGGCCTTAAGAATAAACGTCTTATTTGATCTTTTAGTGCAAAAGGTAAAACTCAGTGCTAGGAATAGACTGTGAGGTTGTCTTACAGACAGAAAGAGGACTCAGTTTACTCCTGAAGTATGATATTCGTCACGGACGCTGTCGTATGAACCTCAGCTCCGAATTTTTTCTATATCGTAGACATGTTGACAAACTCCTTGTTGGTTACCAACAAAAAGAAAACCTGTCAAAATTGAGGAACTGAGCTTTAATGTGTTGATTTGATTTTAAGGCAGTTTTCTTATGAAGAAAACTACTGAGAAAGCACTTTGGTCAATTCAAACGTAAAGCTGATCTGTAAATTTCAATTTGATATATAAGCCATATGAGAGACTATCCCACTTTAAACAGTTCACCTTTTTGTGCACGAGTCTACCATTACAGTGGTCAACAACAAACCACGAAGGCATATGTTTACATATTGTTTATGATTCATGATACATAAGTATTACACATTATGGAAGAAATCGATAAAATACACCTAGTGCTGGAGAAACATGTTGTTATTGTAATAGGATTGCTGAACAACACACAGTATTATATTTTTATTCTGAACTTAAAAAGGCATCAGGGTTGACTAAATAAACAGACTTCATAATTTGGCCCAATTCAGTCAACTTGTTTAACTCCGCCAGTAGATCCTTCGAGGCTACTGCCGGTACGAAGCCCTTGTAAAGTAGGACGGTTGGACATAGGGTTTTCTACCACCTCCCGTCAAAAACTAACTGGCCAAAAAAGGGCTAACCAGAAAAAATAATTCAAACCATTTTAACTCTGCGCTGCAAGTTGGAGGAAGAATTATGACGTCGCGTGATGAAAGCCGAGTTCCCTCGGAAGTCACGGGGCTGATGCCTCTTCTGACAACCAGAGCAACCATTTTTTTAGGTACATGGAACGTTCGTACATTGTGGGAGACTGGAAGACTATTTCAAGTTGCGGCAGAAATGAGAAGATACAACCTCGAGGTGCTTGGAATCAGTGAAACACATTGGACACAAGTAGGACAACTGAGACTAGCTTCAGGGGAACTGCTGTTATACTCTGGTCATGAAGAGGAAAATGCTTCACATACACAAGGAGTTGCATTGATGCTGTCCAAACATGCACAAAAGGCACTAATAGGATGGGAATCTCATGGACCCAGGATCATTAAAGCATCCTTCAAAACAAAGAAAGAGGACATTACAATGAACGTCATCCAATGTTATGCACCTACCAATGACTACAATGATGACGACAAAGATCAATTCTACGAAAGGCTGCAGTCAATCGTCGATAAATGTTCACCAAAGGATTTGACGATTCTTATGGGAGACCTGAATGCCAAGGTTGGAATGGACAACACTGGATATGAAGACATCATGGGACGACATGGACTGGGAGAAAGAAACGAAAACGGTGAGAGATTTGCAAACCTATGTGCCTTCAACAAACTGGTCATCGGTGGCACAATATTCCCGCACAAACGCATTCACAAAGCCACATGGATTTCACCGGATCACACTACTCAAAACCAGATTGATCATATCTGTATCAACAAAACGTTCAGAAGGACTATGGAGGATGTGAGAACCAGGAGAGGAGCTGATGTAGCCTCAGATCACCATTTGCTAATCGCCAAAGTGAAACTGAAACTAAAGAAGCACTGGACAACGGGACAGACAACATCACACAAGTTTAATACGGCCTTTCTTCGGGATACTGTAAAGCTCAACGAATTCAAGATAGCCCTCACCAATAAGTTCCAGGCCTTACAGGATCTACACAATGGAGAGGACACAACATTGGAGAACAATTGGAAAGGGATTAAGGAGGCAATCACTTCAACATGTCAGGAGGTCCTTGGTCGCAAGAAGCAGCATCATAAGGAATGGATCTCTGTTGATACTCTCGCAAAAATTGAAGAAAGGAGGAACAAGAAGGCAGCAATCAATGTCAGCCGAACAAGAGCGGAGAAAGTTACCGCACAAGCTGCATACACAGAAGCAAACAGGGAAGTGAAGAAGAGCATCAGAGCTGACAAACGAAAATACGTGGAAGATCTAGCAATGACGGCGGAAAAGGCTGCAAGAGACGGAAACTTGAGACAATTGTACGTAACAACAAAGAAGCTCGCTGGAAACTATCGTAAACCAGAGCGACCAGTGAAAAACAAGGAAGGCAAAGTAATCAGCAACACTGAACAACAGCGAAATAGGTGGGTAGAGCACTTTAAGGAACTCCTAAATCGACCAGCTCCTCTGAAGACACCCAACATCGAAGCAGCATCCACGGACCTCCCAATTAATATTGGCGCACCTACGATTGAGGAGATCAGTATGGCCATCAGACAAATCAAGAACGGCAAAGCAGCAGGACCAGACAACATTCCAGCAGAGGCAATGAAAGCAGATGTAGAAGCAACCGCGAAAATATTTCACATCCTCTTCAAGAAGATTTGGGATGAGGAACAAGTACCTTCAGACTGGAAGGAAGGATACCTGATCAAAATACCAAAGAAAGGCGACCTCAGCAAGTGTGAGAACTACAGAGGCATCACTCTTCTTTCAATACCAGGCAAAGTCTTCAACAGGGTATTGTTAAACAGAATGAAGGACTTCGTAGATTCCCAACTTCGAGATCAACAGGCCGGATTTCGGAAGGATCGATCGTGTACTGACCAAATTGCTACATTACGGATCATTGTGGAACAATCAATTGAATGGAACTCACCACTCTACATCAACTTCATCGACTACGAGAAAGCATTCGATAGCGTGGATAGGAAAACACTGTGGACTCTTCTTCGACACTACGGGGTGCCTGAGAAAATAGTTAACATCATACGGAACTCTTATGATGGATTCAACTGCAAAATCGTGCACGGAGGACAGCTAACCGACTCTTTCGAGGTAAAGACCGGTGTCAGGCAAGGTTGCTTACTTTCACCCTTTCTCTTTCTCCTGGTGATCGACTGGATTATGAAAACGTCAACAGCTGGAGGGAAGCACGGTATCAACTGGACAGTTAGGACGCAGCTGGACGATCTGGACTTCGCAGATGATCTGGCTCTTCTATCGCACACTCAACAACAAATGCAAGAGAAGACGACGAGTGTAGCAGCAGCCTCTGCAGCAGTAGGTCTCAACATACATAAAGGAAAGAGTAAAATTCTCCGATGCAACACAACATGCACCAATCAAATCACTCTTGATGGAGATGCCTTGGAGGACGTTAACACCTTTACATATCTGGGCAGCATCATCGACAATCAAGGTGGATCTGATGCAGATGTGAGGGCACGGATTGGCAAAGCAAGGGCTGCATTTCTACAGTTGAAAAATATCTGGAACTCCAAACAGATATCAATCAACACCAAAATAAGGATTTTCAATACAAATGTCAAGACAGTTCTAATGTATGGAGCGGAAACATGGAGAACTACCAAAGCCATCATCCAGAGGATACAAGTGTTTATTAACAGCTGTCTACGTAAAATACTTCGTATTCGTTGGCCAGACACCATCAGCAACAACGAACTGTGGGAGAGAACAAGTCAGATTCCAGTGGAAGAGGAAATCAGGAAGAAGCGGTGGAAGTGGATAGGACACACTCTACGAAAAGCACCTAACTGCGTCACGAGACAAGCCCTCACATGGAACCCTCAAGGCAAAAGGAAAAGAGGAAGGCCAAAGAATACATTACGCCGTGAAATAGAGAAAGATATGAGAGGAATGAACAAACATTGGACAGAACTGGAGGAAGAAGCCCAGGACAGAGTTGGTTGGAGAAAACTGGTGGGCGGCCTATGCTCCATTGGGGGTAACAGGCGAAAGTAAGTAAGTAAGCAGTCAACTTGTTTATGGTACTCTTGAACTATATAAAGGCATGCTTGCTCAGCAAAACGACAGTGCACTATCATAATAATAGGTAACCATGCTAGAGAATCGAATAAAGCGTGATTAAAACTCGAGATATACAATTATTTCACGGATTCAAGCTGAACGACAGATATTAGGTAAGTACTAACGAAAAGCATTGACAGGCAACATAGAAATCTAAATTAAATGACGATAAACTAGTGCTGTTTATATATAACACTTTCTGAAGGTGAACTTGTTCTAGAAACGATTTAAAAATAATATATCTCATAGACCGTTACAATATGATGGCCGTAAGAAATTCCCAAGTTTTATTATAGATAATTTGGAAGCACTTCCTACGAACCAAATAGAAATATGGACTAACTTGGATACTGTTTTCCTTGACTAGTTGTGCACAGTCCTGTATAACAGCGGCGGGGACATCATCTAGGGTTTCACCTTCTTTCAATCGTAGGTAGACGTGAGCAGACGATAGAGCATCTACATGAAACCAGACGTCTTCTGGCCATCCCCAACGAATTAGTTCATCATTTTCATGTTTGTCTTCTCCCATAAATATAAAGTAAGGTGGTTGGACAAGTTCACACTTAAAGTGCAGGACCATGATTTATATTTTGCGCTAACGTGCCAACGTTATTGTGATTACAGACAAAATTGAAACTTGTTCCAAGGCCCACGCAATCCAATATCTCTAACATCTTTTTCACGAGCTAGTATAAACTAATTGATCTCTTTGCGATCGATTCTTGTTCTTTCGGTGCGATTCTAGGTGTTCGATAATGTCCAATTAATGGGGGTCTAGCCACTCGACTGTCTAATTCTAATCAGCTATCAGTTGGTTGTGAGTTTGTATGTCCGGAGATTTAGATGAATACGTTTATTTCAAGACAGTAGGCTTTTGAATACCAGCAGCTATAACATTACCAGACAAGAGATTAGTAAGTTTCTATGTGGAGAATAATAAGGAGATATTTCTAATGCTAATGCGAAGATTTCAGAACTGAGTAAATAAATAGATAATTTAGTTTATCAATTGGTAGTGAAGATTGTGAGAGAGGACATTAGTGTAGGTAAAGGACAGAAAATGGAGATGATAAGTGAGATATATTAAGTTAGTGTTCTGAGGAGATGGCAATGATAACAATTAGTAAGTCACAGGACATGCATCAGACATAGCTTGTCCATGAGAGAGATGACAATCCGTATGTGAGTAGGTGATTATCAAGTCTCTCCTTTAACCTTTGTACTGAGGGGGCTGTAGAATCTATTTTGAAGGTTTTGTTTTTCGGAAAATCCCTCCATGTATATATATTTGTGTTATGATATGACTGACTCTTTCTGTTGACATTTTGGTACTCCATTTGATTCCATTTTGAGATTTTATCATTGTATATTGTTATTATTTCTATATTTTGTACTTATATTGAAGTTTTTATGTTTGTTTCTGAACTGTACATATGTTGTTTAAACTTGATATTTAATATGGCTACAGCCATATTTGGATTTGAAACTCTAGTAGTAACTGACTGGAAGCATTTATTCTTCCAGAAACGGAACCCATCGTGGTAATTGAAAGCTCGAAGATGTAATATCGTTTTGGTAATTGTATGTATTTCCCTTACTCATTAAAATAGAAACGTTTTCTCCCAGGATTATCGCGTTTTCGGTCCCTGACTGGGTGAACGCGTATGAACCTACACTGTTCGAGCCGGAGTGAACTGCAAGAGTAGAAAATCCGCAACAGTTCAAAACGGTAATTTGGAGAGGAACTTTTGGATTTTTTGCCGCGTCAACAGTTCAAAAAGATAAAAGGAGGAAGAATCCCTTGGAATTTTTATTGTTTACAATCTCAAAACAATACCAGGAAGAAAAATTTTTGGATTACTTATCATTAACTATTTTTAAACCGTAATGGAAAACGATCTTTTGGTCCTTTTGGATTTCTCGTTGCCGAAGAAGCTTTACCGGTGAAATTTTATATTTGTTCTTTATTATTTCCTTTCCGCTGGATTTCAATTGATCATGAGTTCTCGTAAGAAAGCAAACACGAAGAGAGATGGAGTCCTTGAAGAATCGCTGGATATGACGGAAGTCCGTTATGAAACTTCATTTATAAAGAGTTCACTCTCTAATAAGGACGATATTATGCTTAGTACTTATTGTTGCAATTCATCAATAGAGGGTACTAAGGAACGAAGTTTGCACGAGGACTTAGAGGTATCTGAGCAGGATTTGAGGCCTAGGACACCGGTAGTTCGATTAGAGTTGCCAAAGGGTTGAACTCCTATTCTTCGACGGTAAACACGGAGATTACTTTAGGTTTGTAAAACAACTCGAATCACTTATAGAACCTAGAGTTATAGATGACAATCTGCGCTTATTGTACTTAATCCACTATTGTAAGGGAAAGTCGAGAGATGTGATTGAAGGATGTCTTGTAATCGAACCCCTCGCAGAATATAAAAAGGCTAAGGCTATTTTAAAGCAGCTCTTCGGACAATCGCATGTAATAGCTCGTGAAACTCTGGATGACTTGTTTAGATCTGGGAATGCGGATTACAATGACCCAGAACAATTGTCGAATTTGGCAATTAAGATGCAGAACGTTGCTCTTACTACGGAACAGTTAAACTGTACAGTAGAACTAAATTCCTTAGTAACTTTGGAGGAAATACTTAGGCTCTTACCTCATCGAATGCAAGTCCAGTGGGCAGAGCTGGGAATTAAGTGGAACGAAGAGGAAAGAGAGCCTACTTTCAATGAATTAACCGACTTTATTATGTCTCGTGCTAGGATAGCTAGTAGCAGATTTGGAAGATTAGCTAATCGCGCGAAAACAGGACATGATATGGAAGCTATCCACCCTCTTCGTGTTTGTTTTCTTTCGAGAACTCATAAATAATTGAAATTCAACGGAAAATAAATAACAAATACCAAGTATAAAGTTTCCACCGGTAAATCTTCTTCGTCAATGAAAATCCAAATAGATCAAAAATCGTTTTCCAAAGTACAGTTTGATTAAGGCTAAAGATAAGTAATCCAAAGTTCTTCTTCCAAGAAGTTTGATATTGAAAACGATGAAAATTCCAAATGTTTCCATGTTCCTAGCAATTGTTGGACTGTAGATGGATTTTCTACCCTAGCAGTTCACTTTGTTTCGAATAGGTGCAGGTTGGAACTCGACGTCCCGGATCCAATTGCAAAACACAATAATTCTGGGAGAAATCGGTCTTTATTAATTAAGAAATGGAAATACAGACATTTACCCAACTATTGTTACACCTTCCAATTCACAATTACCACTATGGGTATCCGATTCCAAAAGAATAAGTGCTACCAGTCCTTACTGCTACGGTATCAAATCCAAATATGGCTGTAGCCATATTAAATATCAAGTTTAAACAACATATGTACAGTTCAGAAACAAACATAAAAACTTCAATATAAGTACAAAATATAGAAATAATAACAATATACAATGACAAAATCTCAAAATGGAATCAAATGGAGTACCAAAATGTCAACAGAAAGAGTCAGTCATATCATAACACAAATATATATACATGGAGGGATTTTCCAAAAAACAAAACATTCAAAAAAGTTTCTACAACAGCCACATTTTCAATAGTAGAATACAAATAAGTAAGCTGCAGAATAGGTTCTTTTGGCGATTTGCCGAGGTCTTAAGCGAATTTGTTGGGGAAGATCAAATGGGACGCGCTTGATACGAGCTGTGATCCAGACAGTCGTGTACATAGGGTGCATGTTCCGCAGAGTCACCAAGGATTTCCTACAGTGAATGGGGTTCTGGAAAGGAGAAATGACAGAGATAAAAATGCAGCAGTGTGGCAAGTGTATATATATAACCAAAGCACTACTTAACCTGTCATGTTGAAGTAGTCTATACAGTAGTAAGTCAAGATAAAATTCATACTTAAAGTAAATTATGGGAATATAAGAATACAACTCACAGATAAAGGAGTACAGAAAGAAAGAAGGAAGAGTAGTGCAGTGTCAGGTGGATAGAAGAGAAGTCGAAGTAAGAAGCTGGATTTATGTACGTTGAAATCGAAAGAGTAGAGTTTGTAAAAAGAAAACAATGGTGATTAAAATTTTGCACTGTCTAACTGTTTTTTTGATTATTATTGAATGCCAACCTCCAAGTCATACTGTAAGCGCTTGAGTAAGAATGTTGCGGGTGTCTCGACAGAATAGCGACTTCAGCATAGTTTTGGAAACATGAACCTCAGAAGTAGCAAGTGTATAAGAGTAACCTCTGTGTTACTGATTAGTCGCTTCATCAATCTAAGGAGCCGAAAGCAAACAAAATCTGCAGATATATGTGGATAATGCGAACGTACTATATTCGAGGTTCAATCTCATCCACTACATCCAGACGGTGTCTTGCAAGTCATTCTTTCGCTGGAGAAATATAATTGGACAAAGCGTACTGGAAAATGAGGACTCCGATAATCCAGTCAACGATATTCAAAAGTAGGAGTTCACAAAACAGTCTTTGAAGATAAAGAATACCTTGGCCGAACAAGTTCTGTAGCTAACTAAGAAGGACGGCAACACCAGACCCTGATTAATGAAGACAGCTTTCTCTTCTGCCCGAATGGTTGCAGCAAATCATGAAGCGCTTCGTGTCAATCGATGCTGGTTTCCTAAGGAAATTCAAATTCATCCGGACAGATTGCCTGATGCAAGAATTGGGCACAGAAGCAAATTGAAGCTAAATATTCCACTTGTGGACTACCAAGCTCAAGAAACCAGGAAAGGACAGAAGCGACTTGTTTGGAAAGTCCTATGTAGGCAGGTTCCAAGTACATTCACTCTCTGAATTTATTATAACTGTCTATCTCTTTTGTTATTTTGATTTCAGGCTCTCTGAGGCTAATGCATTTCCAAAGCCCGGGTAAAGAAGAGTTCGGCATGAGCTTAGCGACTGCAGCCTGCAGATGACTAAGTTGCTAAGAAAATGCTGGTCAGAAGAATGATTCAAACCCTGACATGTAAAGGTACACAGCCTGGAGTTACTCGGAATCAGTGAATCACACTGAACACAGGTTCGAAAAATAGACTAGCTTCAAGAAAGCTACAGCTATACTTCGGTCATGAAGAAAAAAATGCGACACATATACAAGGAGTTGCACTGAAGCTGTCCAAACAAGCACGAGAAGCACTGATGGGATGGGAATCTCATACATCCATGATCATCAAATCATCCTTCAAAACAAAGAAAAAGGGTTTTAAAATGAACATCATCAAACCCTGTGCACCTACCAACGACTGCAATGACAACGTTAAAGATCGATTATACAAGAAACTGTAATCAGTCGCCAAGAGATGCTCATCAAAGGATTTGACCGTCGTAATGGATAACTAAGTACCAAGGCTGGAATGGATTGTCTATCGGATTGAGCTGAAGTGAGGTGGTCTGGATGTAGCAGGGGGAACAGCTATTCTGGCGAGTTGACAGATACAATACGCAACGTCAGATTAACTTGATCCACCATAGTCATGTCACGATGCAGCTGCTGCTGAGGAAATAATTCAAGTTTCAAAGGATCAATGTGATCCCATCCCCGTCGCCAAAATTGTTACGTCTTACGTAACCACGTCATTTTGATATGCTTGAACT